TCCATGCATGCACCAGCATACCCATAATCCATGCGCATGACATCAGATATGCGTTCATCCCTTTATATTTGTATGACAAATACACTTTAAACTACCTCGATGTTGTGTTTAAACGGCTCACCATCATATTGAAATCTGGCATGTGCGGTATAAATACGGTCCGGTCAGTCACTTCAGTATCAGGTGGGTTTAAGAGGAATTTTCTCCACCATTACATATGCAAAGAGACTTCCTAGTCTACAGTTGTATAGGGGGCCCTCCAGGTGTTAGTGATGGGGCCCCTAAGAGGTCGTGGGCCCATAAGCAACAGCTGTCTCTGCTTACCGATAGTTACGCCATTGCCTGCCACTTTACACCCAACCTCAAAAAAAAAAAACCTTCATAAAGCTGCTTTACATGTTGCCTTACTTAAGCCCTCAACTTGCATGAAACCACATGACAACCCACTCTGTGGATTTAAGTGTTCAAAATTTGCTGTTGCATCTGTATTTGCTAGCACGTACCAGTATGACGCAGTGATGGCTCTAATGTGTGCTTCCAGTCAGATCTTTGTTCCACTGCACGTTCTCCCTTATGATTAGCTCTGGAGAAGATTATTGAAAAATGACCAAAGAAAACAGCCCTAAGTGCAAAGGCCTGTTGTCTTTAGGCACTATTATCAAGCTCTGATTCAGACTTCCTGACATTTTCCAAACTGTGTGCCAGCTTTTTTTTCAGAAACAGGGAAGCTCAGATACAAAGCTGCAACCTTTTCTCCCATGCTCTTAGTTAAGCTTCCTTTCCCGCCAGTGCTGTTTTGGCCTGATGCCCCTTCTGACTGGAGATAATCTCTAGCCAGACTTTCTCCTTCCTCATTGTACAAGAACTTACTGAGGGATAAGGTATCCAGTTACAGCCTTGCACTGAGGAAACCATCTGACTCCCTTTTCAGATATATTCCGAGATGATGGATAATACAGGCTGGGAACCAGTGTTGCACAATAAGGTTTAAGAAGCAGCCAAAGTGTGTCGTAAATACATGATGTAACAAACTCGGTATTCAAGCTGTGCAAATGGAAGTTACTCAAGCTGAAAGAATAAACCAGACTGAATCTTTAGTTTGTGGGCAGAAGATAAGTGGTTAAAGCATTTCCCTTATTCTTCCTCTCATTATGACTCTGCATGTGTGTTCCAGGTACCAGTGATAGCCATAGCCGGTTCAGGCGGGGGTTTCCGTGCAATGGTTGGGTTTTCTGGAGTGATGAAGGCCCTGTTTGAGTCTGGGGTCTTGGACTGTGCCACATATATTGCAGGGCTCTCTGGATCCACATGGTCTGTGTTTCTTTACACTCTATAGTTTAAGCCTGAGCTTTATCTTTCTTTTCTAAATGTAAATGCATCTTTAATTCTCTCATTGCTTTATCTCTTCTCTTATTTATTCTCTCTGCTCTGGTAAGTTTTCCCTTTTTTAGTGTCTCTTCCTGCTTTAAAATCATAAATATTTAAACTTTTTTCACTTTTTGTCACATTATAACCCAAACTTCAATATATTTTGTAGAGATTGTGTCTGATTTATTTAATCTCAGATTTGTGGAGAAGGAAAATTATACATGCACTGCAGTTTTTCACAGAATAATCTTAGAAGTGTGCTAATTACTCCCATGGAACCCCCTTTACACTAGCGCCCCTAGATAGAATGCTTTGCAAACGAAGGCATGAAGAAGTCACCTAATCAGTAAACAGTCTTAGTGCAAAATAAATGCACAGCACAAAATAGATGAACAGCTTCATGAAGCCCAAAAAGATCACAGAAGATGGGTCATGGTTATGTTTGGACCAAGTTGAGGTTATGAAGCTTTTCTTCAGCAAAATTCAGACTGAAACCTGGAAACTCAGACTGTCACTCTGGGTCCCCAAGCAAGACTTTTAACCCAAGAGTTAGGTATAGACCAATATAGATATGTAGTTATTAGCATTTTAATCTTGCAAAATAATAATCTAAAAACCTTAAGATCACATTAAGCGCATGCATTGCTAATCCTTTCATTTATTCTAAATTGTTCTTTCGTTTTTTTTGTTAAGAAAATGTCTCTTTTTTTGTTTATATTGAGAATGTACCATTCGTAATCATTTTTATCATAGAATTAAAGAAAAATGTTATCTTCAACATTAGTCAGAGTGATTTGTATTAGAAAACCTGTATTCATCAAAAAGTTTTAGTGCCCTCTCAGTCCCTAACTTCACTCCATCCTTTTTTACAGTTAAAAAACAAAAAGCTGATACAGGAAAATTAAACATTTCAGTGAAACAATGTACAATATATTTTAAATTGCTAAAACTACCAGCTTAAAAATACATATATTTTAGGTTAAGCTGGTCATTCTACTGTGCTATGAATAAATAAACAACTAAAAAAACCTCTTAAACTGGGGATTTATTCAATTTATTTCTACTGCGCCCCCTACTGTACAATAAGACCTCCAGTTTGGAAACCAATGCACTAATTAATTTTCCAGCGAATGCATTTATTAGGCAATATAGACAAAAATCATAAATGTTATCAGTCTATCTCCAATTCAAAGGCCATGAAGGACTGCAAGGCTTTTACAATTGAACTTTAAAGGTAAAGTCTAGTCAGCAAGGAATAATCAATGGATCATTATTTATGCCTAAAACTAATATGTTTGCGGTGATTTAATAAATTTATTGTTAATCCCCAAAATATAGAAACACCTCATTCCTGACACCTTCCGGCAGTGACGTCACGGTGCGATAAGCCTAGCTCCAATTTCCCCGCTTTACAAGCAAAATCAATGGGAACTACTAGACATCTGCAATCAACAACAATAATTGAAGATTTCCAGAGGACTTTACCATTGAAATTCACCAGAGCTATAGTGAAACTGACAATGCCCACGTGCATGGCAGCTGGTTGTTGGAATACGTCGCGTAAAAGTGAAGTAAAAATGAGTTATTTCACCTTTCTGATTTACAATCCTCCAAGAACAGTTTCATCATTGGATTGCAAACTTGAAGAGGGAGGATTTGCACACGAACTTCTAGCCCAAGGGTCTGCAACCTGCGGCTCCAGAGCCACATATGGCTCGTTGGACCCTGTCCAGCGGCTCTTAATAGTGACTAAAATGTATATAAAGAGGTAAATAATTTACTATAATATATCAATAGCTTTAGCGTTTTTTTATAAGCTGGAAAAGAATGAGATTAAAAGAACCAGAAATATGTTTTAAGAGACATTTTTCTATGAATTAGCTTGAAAATTATACGTTTTAACATAAAAAATATATGAATTGATTGTTTGAGATGGCAACAACTAATTTCCTATACAAGATAAAAAAAAAAAAGGTTTTCTAGAAAAAGTCATGGTATATTTTGCGGCTCTAAACAACTTTTATTTGGTCGTACTCTGGGCAAACGGCTCTTTGGATATGAAAGGTTGCAGACCCCTGTTCTAGCCAGAGAAAAAACACGTAATATGTAGCCAAGTTTTCAAGATTACTTAGATAATAGCACATTGTGACAAACACTATATAGAGCATTGGGACTTGATCAACAGCCGATACCGCACCGTGACGTCACAAACCAGTAGGTGGCAGTAGTGTTCTTTGACAAACATCAAGCACATCAGAAGCACATTAATATGGAAATTACTCTTAATTAAAAACATTAATAATTTATTGAAAAGTATGTAATAATTTTATACTTAAAGTACTTTCAGAAGAATTCTGAATATGACTTTTCCTGTAAGATATAGTACTTTGAAGTTTGTG